AGTCCCTGACTGCACTGAAGGGATCCATCCCTGCTCTGCGGGCGATCCTCTCTGATGAAACATGACTTCATCCAGAGGGTCTCTCTTTTCCCCATTCATGGTGTCTGTCACTTTAAATCAAGAGTCACCCGACATCAAAACACTGAACCAAGAGTAGAAGCCGGGGTCCAGGTAGCAGGGCTCTCAAACAAGCTTTGCAATTGCTGTGATTACCATGTTCAGAACAACAAATGACAAGACGGAAATTTTCACTTAGAGAAATGAAATATATTTTTTTAAATCAAAGAAATTCTAGAACTAAAAATAAAATCACCAAAGTAAAAAGCGTGACGTATGGGTCCACAGCCAACTGGACAGAGCTGACAGAAGACTGGTGGGATGTAATGTAGGTCAGTAGAGAATACAAAACGGAACACAAGGAGAAAATCGCATAGAAAACACAGAAAATAGCATCTGAGACGCACAGGACATACACGAGGGTCTGACACACATATAAGCTGAGACCAAGCAAGGTTAGTTGGGAATGGGGCAGAATTGTGTCTGAAGAGAAAATGCATGAGGCGTTCCCCAAACCAGTGAAAGCCAGACAGCACCACTGGAGGAAGGGCCACAAATCACAACACAGATGAGTGCAAAGATGCCCCTAGTTGTAGGAAAACCACAGAAAAACTAAAAACAAAAAGAAAGTCTAAAACAGCCAGGAAAAAGGACACCATCGAGGAAGGCAACAATAATACATTTGACTTCTCCACGTAAGCAATGAAATCCAGAAGACAACGGACACTATGTTTTAAGTGCCACAAAAAAGTTACTGCCAACTTAGAATACTGTATCAATACACCAGGTGAAAGGAAAAGGCAAAATAAAAACATTTCCAAAGACCCCCTACTTGAGAAATTGAGAGATTTTGTCACAGCAAACTGATGCCAAAAACACACTCAGTGACGGTCTATTGGAAAATGATCCCATGCGGAAACGTGGAAATGCAGGAGTGAGAGAGGAGTACCAGAGATGAAATATGTCAACACACTTAGGGCATGTTGACTGTAGAAATTACTAGTTCATTGTAGGGTTTACACTATTTGCAGAATTAAAATGCCTGATCATGGTAGCACTAAGGTGGGAGAGGCAGACAGATTTAAAGCGTTGGAAGGTCTTTACAGTGCCCAAGAAGTGGTAAAAGTGCAAGCTTACATTAGGCCCTAATAAGTGAAAGATAAATTTTGTAATTGAATTTTACAATTGTGAATTATTTAGTAATTGCCAGAAAGTAGTAAAAAGAACAATTTACATTGGACCCTAATAAGTGAAGGATGAATTTTATAATTGTTTGGGTGCCCACTAAGAGTATAATGAAAGAGAGCATTACTAACAAGCAAATGGGGAAACATGGAATAATAATAATAATAATAATAATAATAATACTTGATTAATCCTAAGAAAAATGGAACAAATAACAGACATAAGCAGATTCAAAGTTGAATACATTGATAATTTCAATAAATGTACTAAAAATACTCCAATCACAAAACACGTATCGTCAGACCGAATTTTATAAAACAAAATCTACAAAGCTTGAGTAAAAGGATGAAAAGGATGTTATGATAACGTTAACCAGAAAAAAGCTAACATAGCTATACTAATATCATACAAAGTAGACTTTAAGATAAGAAAAATAACTAGTGATAAAGAAGACTTCATGATGACCAAAGGGCCCATCAACCGGCAATATAACAATTCTAAATTGTATGCACCTAATAACATAACTTCAAAATATATAAAGAAAAACTGATGGCACTGTGAGGAGAAATAGATAAATCCATAACTAGTGGCAGATTATAACTCAGCCCTTGCAGCAAGTGGTAGAACAAGCAAACAAAACATTAATGGATATATCTGAAAACCTGAACACAATAAAGCTGATCAAACTGACAAGAGAGAATATCTCTCAAGAAAATGGAAGTACATATTCTTTTCAAGGGCACATGAAGCATTTATTACAATTATCCATATTCTGGGTGAAAAAGCATACTCTATACCTTTCCAATGATTGAAATAATTTAAAGTATATATTCTGACTACAGTGGAAATAGGCTAGGAATCAATTACCAAAGAATAACTGGAAAATCCTCATTTGTTTGGTAATTTAGCAACACATATCTAAACTCATGGGCCAAGGAAGAAATAATAATGAGTACTAAAGTTTTTTTCACTCAAATGATAACGAAAATACAATGTATCAAACTTTATGAGATCACCTAAAGTTATATTTAGAAGGAAATTTGTAGCCTTAAATCCACAGATCAGAAAGAAGGAAAGCTGAAATTTAATCTCACAAAATAAAGGAAGGAAAGAAGAACGGAAGAAAGAAATCTTAAAACAGAGAAGGGGGGGAAACTAACAACTAAACATAAAATGAAGAAGAGCAAATTCAATGAAACAGAAAGCAAATGTATCATAGAGAAAATCAACAAAACTAAACAGTTGGTTCTATGGAAAGAATAATAAAATTGGTAGACCCCAGCAAGACTGAGCAAGAGAGAGGGAAGGTATGAATCACCACTACTTAGGATGAAAATGAGAACACAGAAAGAGGTCCTACAGGCACTAAAAAGAAAGCAAGAGAATATTATGAACAATTTTATGTTAATACATTCATTTTCCATTCCTTATTACTGTTTTGAATTCTTATTGCAGTACAATGTACACATGTTGGAGGGTGCAGATTTTCAGGTGTACAGAGCTGATGTGGGGAATAGAGTTGGTGTGGGGAAGAGAGCTGAGGAAGGGAACAGAGCTGGTTGTGGGGAACAGAGCTGGATTGGGGAACAGAGCTGGCGTGGGGAACAGACCTGGAGTGGGGAACAGAGCTGAGGAGTGGAACAGAGCTGGTGTGGGGAACAGAGCTGGTGGGGGGAACAGAGCTGATTTGGGGAACAGAGCTGGTGTGGGGAACAGAGCTGGTGTGGGGAACAGAGCTGAGGAGAAGAACAGACCTGGCGTGGGGAAGAG